ATTTATATAAATAGTTTATTATTATTTTACCAGTAAATAACAAAATATAAAAGAAAAAATAATTGTTATTAAAAAAAAACAAAAAAAAAATCAGAAAGAATAATTAAAACAAAAATACTAATTTCTTCAAAAATAATAAAAAACAAATATGAATGAATAAATAATAAAATTTAATTGTTTATTTAAAAATTTAAACAAAGAAATATTAAGATACAATAATAAAAATTTCATTAAATCTAATTTTTTATGATAACCATAATTTAGAATTTATTTAAGTAATGTTATAATAAAAAAACTCTCAATTTGTGTTATTTAAATAATAATACATTATTGGATTTTTGTTTTTTTCTTCTTTCTCATCTTCTACTTCTATTTCTTCTCCTTTAAATATTTGTTCTATTTTTTCAGTTATTCCAATATCTTCCTATTTTGTTATTTTCTTTTTTTTTTTTTTTCTTTTTAACAAACGAATTTTTTCATAATTTTAATACCACTTTTTGTCGCTATTCCTCCTCGTTCAAAATATAATTGTCTATTACTTGTACTAACTATTAAATAATCTTCTTTCCCAATACTTGTTTCTCCAATTGCATAGTCGTATCGTGTTCCTTGAAAATATTCATCTATTTCATTTTTAACTCTTTCCTTCTCTCCTTTCTCATATCCTCCAAAAATCATCCCTTCTTCTTTCCATTCTTTTATTTCTGTTTTAAATTCCATGTATTTCTTCTTTAACTCTCTTTCTTTTTCTCCTATTTCTCTCTTTTTCTCTCGGTCTTCCCTTGCTCTCTTTCTTTCTTCATTATACCCTTTTTCTGCTTCTCCTATTTCTTTCATAATTTCTATTGTTTTAATATATTTCTCAACTTCTTCTTTACAATTAATTCTTTCCCTCTTCTCCATCTCTTTTTTTTAGTTTTTTTTTCTTTTTTTTTAATTTAGGTTTATGTATTTATTTTTGTTTTTGTGATAATAATTTCCCACCTAATTTTTGTTGTATTTACTTCTTATGACTTGCCATTGTTTTTTTTACAATTCTTACTTCAAATAATTAAAAATGGTGATCCTTTTTGTTGTATTTTTGAATTGATACATTTTGACTGTTAAACATTTTTAAACTTCTTTTTCCTTGAAAGTACATTTACTTAATATACCCTTTGAAGAGGGAAGTTTTATTTAGACTATAAAAATAAATATATTCCATGTCCTTTGTTAGTCTTTTTAATATGAGTAGTCTTTATTTTATCTTCCTATATATCATTGCTTGATTCGAGTATTTATAAACATCTTTATAGGATTAAAAAATAACACACAACTCTTGTTTAACAGTTTATAATATTTATTATTCTTATAATCAATATTATGGATATTAGAAATTTTATTAAATAAATAATGTTGATAATATACAGGATTTTTATAAGGTTTATTTGTATATAAATATTTATCTTTATACTGTAGAATTAACAATAATCAAATTTTGTTTGTCTTTCTTTTTGAACAAACTTCAATAACAAAGTAAACTATTTAACGTATGTATTTCGTTTGTACTATATTTTTTGATATTTGACAATTTACAATATGTGTTTTCTTAACTAGTTTTATGGTATTTATTCATACCCATTTTGATTATTGAAAGTTATTTCATTCTTTGAATGATAATTATTATGTATTTTTTTGTTGAATAAAATTAAATTGATATAACATTAAAAGCTGAAGGTGTTATTTTGAATATGTTTTTATTCTATATAAACAACGATAATTCAAATAGTTAAAATAAAGAACATTTTTATCTTGAAATGTTTTACAAGTATTGATTTCATTTATATACTTATAAGTTGATATCAAAAGTCTGAAATTAACTATAATTTATTTATATGTATGATAAAATATTAAGCATAGCAATTTATTATGTTCTAAAAACTAATATATAATGATAAATTAAATTGTTAATGAAAAGAAGTTCCAATGTAAATATATCAAAGAAATTATTGAAATAAAAAAAAAAGATTTAATTGAATTGTAAAGAATACTCAAGTATTATATTTATTTATACGAATTTTTTACTGTCTTTAAAAAATTATTGATGTTATTTCCTGTGAAACATTCTTTATTTTAACTATATTTAAAACAAACAAACAGACATCTTATATTTGTTTATTAAATTACTTTTGGATTATAATTTCATTATTATTAAATACAAAACCTAAATATGTTTTAGTAATTCCCAATTGTTCTAAATTGCAGAATGTGCTGTGTTTTCAATTTATACCACTTTAATTTATTCAGACTTCAATAACCTAAATGACTGATACAGTACTTTTATATTCATTACTTAATAAATGTATCATTAAAATGGATATATTCTTTTCTTTAAAATATATGATTACTAACATTGTCACTTAACTATATTAATAAATATATTTATATAAAGAATTGTTGAGTTTGGAATATAATAAAAATATTATCAAATGTTAACATGTTGCTAAATATAGATCAATTTTCTAGAATAAATTCTTCTATTATTTAATTATCCAATTTGCTTAAAATAAATAATTAGAAAATAAATAATTCCAATAAATACTATTATCTAATAATTGTAAATTCTTAAAAAAAGCATTAGAGTTAATTTAGCAAATTAGAATAACATAATTATACTTCTTTATTTAATTTTATATGAAACTCTTATTAGATAACCAAGCATAGAAGAAAAACAGTGTTATCTTACTAAATTATATTCTCATAATTACAAAATGAATTAATGAAATAATTTAAGAAAATATTATATGAAAAAGATAATTAGAGAATAAAAGAATTTCTTTTTAATTTAAGAATCTTTTTAATAAAATTTACTTTATTAGTAATAAAAATAAACAACCTTAACATCTTTTTATATAAAAATATAATCAGATACATCAAAAGAAAAAATTAATTTGAAACATAATATCTTAAACTCAATTAATAAAATAACTTGTATTATTTTTCCTGTTAAAATTTAATTTTACATTAACAAGCTTTCTTTTTGTATTTTTTACATTTAGTAAGTCTGAACAATGCAATACTAATATAAAATATCTTTCAATTATTCTTTATTTACAAAAAGGGTTTTCTGTAAAATAAGTTTGTTGAGTAACCTTATATCTATTTGAATCTGTCACAGGAATAAACACACTAAGTACTTTTGAATAATACATTTCTTCAATCTCATCTAATATGGACTTATTAACAATTGTATTACTCCTTATAGTTAATCGTTTTTCTACTAAATTGATTAAATGAATTAAAGAAGATTTTTCTGAAATTTCAAAATATTCATTTTGAGGAGAGGTAATTGCATTCCACACAAAGAAATGCATAACTTTAGATGTCTCTTTCATATTATTTGTATTTAAATGTAGTTTATATCCTTTACTAATTAACATATATGCCATAAAGTTAGAAAATGCAGATTCTCTATTTCTACAATCAGTCTTTGATAATTTAGTAGCATAAGACATTGAATTATTTGAGTTATTGTCTTTAGGAAATAAATTAATTGATTCTTTATCAATAATAATATGTTTTTGATTATTTTTTTTATAACCATCAATTATAGGCTTTAATACACTACAGAATCTATGTGATATTTCAATAAAGTCATCTAGCTGATATTTTTTTGACTCTATTATAATTGACTCTCCTCTAAGAACTTTTAAGGCATAGTGAGATATTTTTGATCTAAAAAACTGGATTGTAGCTCCTTCAAGAAGGATATGATAAACTAATAAAGCATTTGATAAAGCTTTTCTTGACCGAGAAAGAGTTCTGCTTATACTATTATTCATAAAAGATATAATAATAATGAATTTGCTAGTTTCATAATGAACAAAGATATTTTAAAAAATAATAAAAATGAATAAGGTTTGAGATGCTATTTATACAAAACAATTAAAAAACACACTAATTCAACATCCAATTCTATTATTTCTAAAAATGTAAAAATGAACTTTATTTTTGAATAGATTTAATAAATTATTCTATAACATTTTTATATACTAGAAATTAACTCAAAGTAACAACTTCGTAACTGAATTGGAAGAAAGGAAAAATATTGTAAAATTTTAAAATACACAAACATGATTTATTAAGAAAAGATAATAAAATAGTACATAGTATGAGACAAGGGTTTTCTCCTTTTTTAAATAAAATGGAATAGTGTTAGAAAACTTTAAATCCATCTTTTTATTTTTATTTCTTTTATTTAAAACATGGGAATTACTCTTGACGATATTACTCTTCATCATACTGGACATTCTGGATTTCTTATTGAAACCAAAACAGTAAATATTTATATTGATCCTTTTAAACTTACTACTCTTCCAGCTGAGCAATTAGATTACCTTAAAGCTCATAAAGCTACTTTTATAATTACTACCCATACTCATAATGACCATTTAAGTCCTGAAGATATTGCTCTTATTGAAGATGAAAACACTATTTTCATTGCTCCACCATGTTGTAAAGTTCTTACTACTAAACCACATTATATTAAATTGTGTGTTGGAGATGTTGTTACTGAAAAAGGAATTCAATTCCAAGGTGTTGATGCTTATAATACTAACAAGAACTTCCACCTTAAATCAATGGGATTTATTGGTGTAATTATTACAATCAATGGAAAAAGAATTTATCATGCTGGTGATACTGATGTTATTGAAGAAATGAAAACTTATACTAATCTTGATGTTGCTCTTATACCTGTTAGTGGAACTTATGTTATGACTGCTGATGAAGCTATTGTTGCTGCTGGACTTATTCAATCTAAGTGCTATGTTCCAATGCATTGGGGAATTATTATTGGAGATAAAGCTATGGCTGAACACTTTGTTGCTTCAGTGAAAGGAGCTATTCTTCCTTCTTTCTAAATTGACTTTTGTTGTGGTTTGTTTTTTATTTTAAAATGCATTTGGTTTGAACCTTTTTTAAGCCTATTACGTTTTTTTAATTCTTTTTCATGTTATTACATGACATTATTTTTTAAGAGAAACTTAGCTTTTAATACGATTGATTTTTACATTGGAATTATTAATCATCGATTATGTTGTATTTATGAAATTATTAACTAATAATAGATATTAAATTATTAATTTTTTAGTAATGAATAAATTTAAATTAAACGAATTGTATTTTTGTTATCAACTTTTATTGTAATACTATGTAATATTATGTTAAATAAACACAAATAAAAGAGAAAAAGAATGAATACGTTATGCTAGAAATAATATTTCTAATTATAAATAAAGAAAACAAAAGTATTAGAAAATAAGTTTATTCATTTTCAAAGATATTCAACTTTCAATAGTAAAGACTTAAAAAAAAATAATAAAATAAATTTTGAGTAGAGAATTTAAAAATTTTTAGATAATGGAAGAAACAGTTGAATGGCTGATTAATTCCTTAAAAGAAATTATGAAAAAAGAATGTACAGGAAAAAGATTTATTGAAAATTTTATTATGCCAAAAACGTATTCAGCAAAAAGAATATTATTAAGAAGAATGACTGATACTATAAAACCATTAAAATATACTCCATTATTTATTCAAAAACAAAATGAATTATTACAAAGTGAATTAGGAGAAATAATTGATTATAAATCATTACCAATTCATCCTAATTTAAATAAACAATTTTCTAAATCTATAAGAGTATGGAAAGGAGATATAACTAAATTAAAAATAGATGCTATTGTTAATGCTGCAAACAATACTCTTGTTGGTTGTTTTATTCCACTTCATTCTTGTGTTGATAGTATTATTCATGAGCGTGCTGGAGTTCAATTAAGATATGAATGCAGTCAATTAAAAACAGCTTATAAAGCAACAACAACTACGACCGAAATAACAAAAGGATATAATTTACCAGCAAAATATGTAATTCATGTTGTTGGTCCTGTTGTAGATACATTAAAACCAAAACACTCATATTTATTACAACAATGTTATTTAAATTGTTTAAATAAAGCAATTGAATCAGGGTGTACTTCAATTGGATTTTGTTGTATATCAACTGGAATGTTTGGATTTCCAAATGAAGAAGCAGCACAAATTGCTATTCAAACAGTTAATAACTTTGTTAAAGATCATCAAATAGACGTAGTATTTTGTGTATTTAAAGAAATTGATTATAACATTTATACTTCATTATTAAATGATGGATTTAATCATTTTGATATTATTAATAAAGAATGTTATGATAAAGAATGTTTGAAAGAAAAAGAACAAAAACAACTTCAAAAATTACAACGATTAAAAGAACTCCAATTAAAAAAAAGTAGTGTTAATGAAGAACTTACTGAAAATGAATTAGAAGAATTTTTTGATTTGGTTCAATCAGTCCCAAAAGAGAAAAGACCAAAACAACCTTATACTCTTGATAAATGGTTTTCTACTAAAAAGGTAAATAAAAAGTAAATTATTTCTTTTAATTTAGTATATTTATTCTTTATTTACTTTTAATTATTTTTCATATTAGTCTTTTGATATTATTTGTATTTAAAAGTGAATAACAAGTAAAAATTATGACTAACAATCATTTTGGTTTTAATATTTTAAT